ATTTAATAATCATAAGAATTGCGAACCTTATATATATATAGTTCTAAGACGTATGTCTATAATAAGTTAAGGTAAGTTATTCTGGAGTAAGATTATTTCAAAACATATATAAAAGAAAAGAATTAAAACATGCCGTAAAATGATAGATTTAAGGAATCCAGGCTTTCATCTGTGTCGGATTCATTAACTTTACTCAACTTTATTTGAGAGAAAATGTATCATATCCAGAAAAAAACATTGTGAAATATTTTTCATTTGAAGAATGCTGACTTAAATTTTTTTATATTTTTTTTTTACATTTGACTTTTTTAGTGGTCGACTTACATATAACATACAAAAAATTTGCTATCTTGCAATCAAAAAAAAAAAGGGGGGGGCTACTTATACACCGAGATATACGGTAGGTTCACAACATTAATACATTTAAGACATTGCAAAGCTTTTACTTCATCATAAATGGGTAGAAAAACATTAAAAACACATTAACCTTCCTGTGTTCTATATTTTCTCTAAACACAGGACTGAAAAGATTAAGAAGATCATAAATTTAGTTGAATGTAAGTTATAAAAGTTTATTTCCCGTTTTTCTACATATTTTTTTAAAAACAAACAAATATAGTTTAAATTAGTGGTTGGTGGTTTTATTTAGAAATTGGAAGTGCCTATTTGTCCGTTTTAATAAGATTCTTGGCAAATAACTTTCCTAGAATCATAAAATGTTTTTACTTATTATTTCTAATAATTTTAATGATGCAATATATAAATGTTAATGTAAACAATAAAATATCTATTCCAATATCGAAAATTAATTAATGTGTCAAAGAAAAAACCTATATATTTATTAAACTTTTTGAATTCATGAAATAATAAAAGTTTATATTTTTATTATAATCTCCAAATTGATATTGTATATAATTCAGAACCAGCGATTTTAATGTTAAAGTTTTAACTAACACTTGAAATCATCGAGGCAGAGATTTTGTAAAATATATTTTAATTGATTTTAATCAAACTTTATTCATTAGATAATACAGATATGCGCAAGTAAAATTATCTTAGTTTAAATTATTTAAAATAGCAACTGGTGTAATAGTTAAGGATGCTAGGTTAGTTAAATGAAAGTTTTAATCCTTATTTATTTAAAAGCGAAAAATTTTAAGAAGATTTATATTATGAATTTATATAAAATTAAATAAGTAAATAATAGATTTATTTTATTAAAAAGAACTATTGTGTTGCAGTTGATCATATATTTTGCTGAAAATAAATATTTAAAAAGTAATTAACTTTGTTATTATCTAATAATTAATATATTTATCTAATAATAATATATTTAATATATTTATCTAAATAATTAATATAATTAATATATTATTAATATATTTATCTATATTTATCTTATCCTATCTATTTATCTTACCTATATATTTATCTTATCTATATTATTATTATATTAATAACTATATAATTAATATATTTATCTAAAACTAGTAACTTAATGAAATTGATGTCCATACTATAAAATAAGTCCACGTGTTATAATCACAATATATTATTAAAAAAAACATTTAATGTGAATGTTTACCAGTAATATTTTGGTAAATCAAGCTAAATCAATAAAGTATTTTTAAAACATTAAGATTAAATGAATAAATGCATATTAAATATATCAATTCCGCAAAATATTTAATTGGAAGAAATTCATCTCTCTATCCCAAAATCCAATTTTTTTTCT